CTTCTTCCAAAATACCCTAGACTAATCTGCAGTAGTACCAACAAAGTGTAATGGTTGCCTTTTCCCCACACCACACCAGAACTTACCGTGACTTGTTTTTGTTTTGTTTTGTTTTGTTTCAATGCTAGCCATTCTGACTCTTGTGAAACAGAATTTCAATTTAGTCTTAGTGTTCCCGTATTGCATTTCCCCTGTAAATATTCATTATATATGATTTCGAGCCATTTGACTTGTCTTTTGAGAACTACCTGCTCAGTTCATTAGTGTCTTTATTGACTGGGCTTTTTGGTGTCTTGGTGTTTGGTAGTTTGAGCTCTCCACTTACCTAGAAGTTAATCCTTTACCCTGTGTTTATCTAACAGAGCTATTTTCTTCTATTCTCTGGCCTTTTTTTTTCTTCATTACTGGTGTGCAGAAGGTGTAAATTTCATACCATCCAATCATTAATTCTTGGAGTCCTTTTCAAAGAAAATTTGTGTCTATTTACATCTTGAACTATTTTTCCTGTGTTTTTCTCTGAAAGTTAAGTTTCATATTCTACATGAGAGTCTTCCATTTTGAATTGGTTTGTATAGGGTAAGACATAGAGATCTTAGCTTTATTCTTCTACTTGTGTATATGCAGTTTTCTCAACTGTATTTGTTCAAGAGGCCCCTTTCCTCCAATGCATGCTTTTGTTATCTTTGTCAAAATATATCCACTGGCTACACGTGGATCCTATACTCTATGTAATTAAGTTTTGTTTCTGGGATCATGCTGCTTTTGTTAGTATGGCTCTGTAGATTAACTTGAAATCAGGTGTAGTGATGATTCAAGCATCGTTCTTTTTTTTTTTTTCTCAGAATTTCATTGGCTATTCAGAGTATTTTGGATTTACATATAAATTTTAATTTTTTTTCATTTCTGTAAACAATGTCATTGGAATTTTGATGAAGATTGCAGGGAATCTGTAGATCACTTGAGTTAGAGGGTCACTTGTAGAAGGTAATTTTTGCTTAGCCATGAGCATGGCAGGACATTTCATCTGTCAGTGTCTTCTTCAGTGTAAAATCTTCATTGCAGAAGTTTTTCTCTTCTTTCGTTGGGCGTAGTTTTGTTTTGTTGTTGAGTTTATCATAAATGGGAATTTTTTTCCTGATGCTTTTATCAAAACTTTTTTGACTGCTATTTTGGAAAAGTGTTGATAATTGTCCAATGTATATTGTATTGTGTGATGATAATATTGTATTGCAACTTTGTATTATCTTCATTGCTAAATGTGTTCATTAGTTCTAAATTTTCTAGTAGCATCTTTAGAATTTTGTATGAATAGGAACATTATTTCTGAATATAAGGATGTTTTGATTTCTTCCTTTCCTATTTTGGTTCCTAAAATTCTTATTTTATTGCTCTAGCTATAACTTCAAGTACTATTTATGAGTGATAAAAGTCCCAGCCAGTGCTGCTAATAGTAGGATACATGCTCAAGGAAATAGATTTCAGGAGTTATTCTAATACAAGCCAAGACATAGGAAAAACAGAAGGTGATGCAGCTAATATGAAGATTTAACAAAATTTTTCATTCCTATGTGGGGCAATCAAGAAGACTTGGGTGTTTTGATTAAAATGGTTATAGCTAAGCACAATTCATAAAGTATTTTGTCACCAGTCAGGGAACATTTTGATTTTACTTGTTATGCTTCAGAATAATCTCAGCTTTTTAGAAGGTCCAGTAGCCCAGTACTGCTAGGAATAAAGATATCTAAAGATATCTAAGGAATGAAGTTTGACATAAGCTTACAGATCATAGGGCCATTTGCAGTGTAAGCAAAAAAAAAAAACTGACTGACATTTATGCTTGATAGACTGAAATTTTGATTAATATCATCTACAAATAATAATAATTTTTTTCATGTAAAATTTTCACATCCAAGGTGTTAAATATCAGGTAAAATTTTACTTCATGATACTATAACATGAACTACCACATGAACAAATATCAAATACAAGGTTACTATGGTTGGAGAAATCTACCTGGACACTCACTCTGATGAGTCAGGAAAGGACTATTCTTCTGTGCTTGGTATCATTCATGGAGACTCTTCTTACTCAGTTTGATGATTTAGAATTTTCTGGTACTCCATCAATCTTGACCTTGGTTTGTGCCCCTGCTTTCAGTTTGTCTTGAGAGAATCCAGGAATAGTATAAATGCCTGTTATTGTGAAGTTCTGGTTTTTTTAATTTAATTTAATTTTTATTACATTTTTATTTTTACATTAATTACAGTTTATTCATTTTGTAGCCCAGCTGGAGCCCCCTCACTCACTCACTCCCATTCCCACCCTCCCTGCCTCATCTCCTCCCATGCCCCTCTCCAGGTCCACTGGTAGGGGAGGTCCTCCCCCCTTTCCATCTGACCCTAGCTTATCAGGTCTCATCAGGACTGGCTGCATTGTCTTCCTCTGTGGACTGGTAGGGCTGCTCCCCACTAAGGGGGAGGTGATCAAAGAACCAGCCGCTGACTTCATGTCAGAGATGGTCCCTGTTCCCCTTACTAGGGTGCCCACTTGGAGACTGAACTGACATGGGCTACTTCTGAACAAGGATTCTAGATTATATCCATGAATGGTCCTTGGTTGGAGTATCAGTCTCAGAAAAGACCACTGTGCCCAAAAATTTTGGTTCTGTTGCTCTCCTTGTGGATCTTCTGCCCCCTCCAGGTCTTACTATCACCCCCTTCATTCCTAAGATTCCCTGCAATCTGCCCAAAGTTTGGTTATGAGTCTCAGCATCTGCTTTGATACACTGCTGGGTAGAAATTCAGTTTTGTAATTTTGCTAAGTGATTGATTTTGACAGGACAGTTAAGACCTTTGTTTGGCAAAGTGGCCACTCACCTTGTTTCTAGAGATGCTGGTTTGTATCTGGGTGTTTAGACTTTGCTGCCCCCTTCTTTTTCAGGTCTCAGCAATGACTCACCTCAGGACACTCTGCAGCATCAGCTGATATTGAGGCCAGAAGTTAGAGCATGTTACAACTCAGCAGCCAGGATGGGACCCCAGTAACCTTACAGATTCATGTTACTGACTTATTGCTATGTGGTGGCAACCACACTAGGACCGCAGTTAAAGACATCCTGTTTCCTAAGAAAACCACAGAGACAAGCAACCTATAGTCATCAAATTGGCACCTTATGTCTACCCTCTCTACAGACCTTCTCCTCTTTGCAAAACTTTTTTGTTTTAAGCAAAATGCCAGAGGTAGAAAATCCACCATTGGAATCTCCCCTGTCAGGCAGTTCTAGAAATGGCTGAGCTGAATCGCAGCACTTTGCACAGCTCTCAGGATCTCCCCCTCCCACAGCAGTTCATACACTTCTTTCTCTTTTGTCCAAACCTGTTGCCTGAGAGCATCATTCATTAGAGATGTGAGACACAAACCTGGGGTTGACTTTTGATTTTGTGAGTTGTGGTGACTTGATTTTCTAGCATCTTTGCATCAACCGGAAGGTTTCCAGAGGAAGGCTACTCAAGAGAACACCCACATCTTTGTATGAGAAGAATTAACTCAACTGCCTGAGGTGTCAGCAGCCATTGTATATTGCCATTGTGGAATAAAAATTTAGAAGGCTAAAATGCAAAGACAATTTATTTGTTCCTAGTCTATCATTTAAACATTTTAGAATAAATAATATGTAATAAAATTTTTCATACTTAAACATTCTTATATAAGGATGCAAGATGATTTAATAATGTTTGATTTCCTATTATCCTTCTTTATCTTCCCTATCCTTTTGTATTACAGTCTTCGCCATCACTAATTTTTCTAGTATCTATTATTTTCTAAGTCAGACAAGAACCATATGGTAGTTTCATTGAACAGGTTCTTCGAAATGTGAAATTTTTTTTTTTTTTGGTGGCTGAATTATATGACATTTATTTATGTATATCTAGATGTAAACACATACACACACATACACAAACAAGGTGTTTTCCTATTGATTAACTAGGTTGTGAGGCCGATTCCATAACATGAAACCTCTAAATAGTAATCCTGTTCAGTGTATCCTTAGAAGTGAAATAGATATGTAATCTGATATTTCTAATTATAGGTTTAGAGGGACTTTCACACACATTTAAGTAGTGGTTGGATTAATTTGCAATCCACCAATAGTGTGAAATGCATCTCTTTCATATTTTGTATTTCTCTCTTAACTTGTTTTGATTTTATTCTTGATGTTAGTCGTTCTGAAAAGATGAGTTGGAATCTTAACGCAGTTCTGATTTTCATTTATCTCACATGGAAAGATTGTATTTTTCACATAAGTGATGATCATTTTACTTTTTCATTTAGAAATACATGTGAAGCACATGTTTTTCACTGAGTTGTTGCCCTCTTTTATGCTTAAATTAAGTTCTTCATATATTGGCTATCAATCCCTTATCACATTAATAACTGTGAGGGTTTTCTTGCAACTCTATAAATAATAATTTGTTCATAAAATTGTTCTACTTGCTGTGAAGAAGTTTTTAAATCTTATGCAAAGATCCATATATCAGTTCTTGCTATTATTTCATAATCAAATGAATCCTATTAGGAAAACCATAGCTAACATATACCTTAGAGCAGACCAGTATTTAAGTCCAGACACCTACAGCATGGCTCACAAACTCCAGTTCCAAGGGATTTGTGCCTATTCTGACCTTTGTGGGCTCCTGGACCCCTACGCACACATACATACCCTCTGACACACAAAGACACATAGACTTAATAAATACTTTTTTTACGTACAAAAAAAAATCTCTTCTTAGAGAAGAAAAGCAACAATGCAATAGAAAGAGTTCATATGATGAAGTAAGCATTTTATTAGTGTTCACACTTTCAGGACAAATGTACATAGTTTAGCAAACACACACATTGAAGCGTATTTAAGATAAAGAGAAAATTCATGAAATTCTTCACACTATGGAAAGCAACAGGCCCTCAAAAGAAGCAGAAAAATACATAGAAAACCATAAACTTCAACCTGACTGATCTTCAGTGATGAATGTAACAATTTCATTAAACACTTCATCGGGAGCATTTAAACCTATCACAAAATCCAAATGACTATAGTCAGCAATCTTCTTATGATAAATGAGATTGGAGATGTTGGCTTCCAACTTTTTAACGTCTGTTGGATCTGCCAGAAGATCTCGTCCACCACTCCACATGGCAGTTGGGACCTTCATCTTCTTTACCTCATATAACGGAGGTGTGGGCTAAAGAAAATAAGCAACAGTAATGTTTACGTTAATGGCATAGCTCCCTGTGGACTGTAAGTGGATGGCTCTTTTTTTCAATAAAACAATAATTTCTAATTTATGACTACATAGTAAGTTATGAACTCTTATTCTTCTCAGACAGAAATAGACTAATGGTCAAACTTTAAATCATATAAACTGAATGGTTTTCCAGAACAAAAGGTCTCTAAATCTTAGGTTCTTTACTTGTAAAATTATGATGTCTGGTGTCAGTAATAAATCAAAGAAATTTGTGAAGTTCAGGTGAAAAGATATTTGGAAATAGTCACTGTGTAATATTTTATAAAGAAGTGTTTTTCTAGTTTTGAAGCTAATCTGTGGTATGCTCTAACAGTTTCCTGGGAAGTGTAAACATGCTCCATGTTTGTGTGTGTGTGTGTGTGTGTGTGTGTGTGTGTGTGTTATTTTTATATTAATTACAGTTTATTCACTTTGTTTCCCAGCTGTAGGTCCCTCCTTCATTCCCTTCCAATCCCACCTTCCCTCCCTTATCTCCTCCTCCGACGCCCCTCTCCAAGTACACTGATAGGGGAGGTCCTCCTCCCCTCAGGTATCATCAGGACTGGCTTTTTAAGGAAGAAGAATTTACTTAATTCTTTCATATGCTTTCCAAAGGGAGGAATTATTACCATCTGTAAAAGGAAACTTACCTGACTGTAGTGCAGCATATTCAGAGATGAACTTCCCCAGTCATAGGCTTGGAATTCTCCTGTTCTGATTGCCTGGTGGTAAAAGCAGACCATTACAAAACTTAGCAATAGAAAAAGAAATCGGGATGGTGAAGCTTTATTAATTTTTTCTCAGTATCACCATTGATTCACAGACAACGAGGCTGTATAAATGTACAGTAAAACTCTATTGCAACATCCTGTGGTTCTGGGTTAATGGAGACTAATGCATATATACATATATACACACACCAATATTTTACACCAGACAGATACAGATTAAAATGACTGAGGAAACTAATAACTTGGAAACTGAGCTGCCATGGGCTACATCTGAGCAGGGGTTCTAGTTTATCTTGATGTATGGTCCTTGGTTGGAGTATCAGTCTCAGAAAACATCCTTGTCCAGATTTTTTGGTTCTGTTGCTCTCCTTGTGGAGCTCCTGTCCCCTCCAGGACTTTCTATCTCCCCCTTCTTTCATAAGATTCCCTGCACTCTCCCCAAAGTTTGGTTATGAGCCTCAGCATCTGCTTTGGTACTCTGCAGGTTAGAGTCTTTCAGAGGCTTCTGTGGTAAGCTCCTGTCCTGTTCCCTGTGTTCCCCCTCTTCTGATATCCATCTTATTGGCCTTTATAAATGAGGATCGAGCATCTTACCCAGATGAGGAGTACTCAGATTACTCCTCTTTGCTTAGCTTCTTTAGGAGAACAGATTTTAGTATGTTTAGCCTATATTATATGTCTAATAAACACGTATGAGTGAGTATATACCCTGTGTGTCTTTCTGTTTCTGGGATACCTCACTCAGGATAATCTTTTCTAGTTCCCACTATTTACCTGCAAATTTCATGATTTTGTTGTTTTTAATAGCTGAGTAGTAATCCATTGTGTAAATGTACCAATGTTGTGTATTTGTAATCCAAGATCCAGAGAGCAAAATAGACAAATCACTGGGTTCCTTTAGCCAGACAGCCTGGGCTTCTAGGCAAGTTTTGTACAAATGCAAGACAGTGTTTCAGATAAGAGGTAAACAATGTTCCAATACTAGACCTAAGTATGTCCTCTACCTTCCTCCAAAGGCAGGTTTACCCTTGTGAAAATGCACTTGCAAACCATGTGCACCAGCTGAAACGCAGACATGCACAGACCTAAGTGCACACATACATACACTCTACAAAAATAACCAATCATCTAACATTATTTGAAACCAAATTAAAAAGGCATGTAATATTAGTTTTCAGGATATATAAACGCTTTTGTTTTCATGATATTGAGCTGATATCAATACATATTTCAAAATGACATTTGCATTGAAATTGATATATAATTAAAATAGTTATCACTTATGTATCATTTACTTTGTATAAAATATTTCCTATGACTCCCAACACTTTTGCTACAGACTTGTGTTAATAAGCCAATTGTTTTGGATAAAAAAAATGAATAATAATAAGGAATAAGGCTTGAAAACAGCGTAATCTTCAGACAAGTACACAGACTTTCTTCACAACCCTCAAATACTGAGAAGGAAGAGCTATGATAAACAGATTTCCCCATCTATCAGAATGTGACACATTACTCTAAAGATTACGTGTCCATGGAAACAAAAATAATTCATTCCTGTCAGTATAGAGAAAAACCCAAGAATGCCTCTTACGCATAATATTAAATATCTCAAAATGAAGAAGGAAAATAATGAGGAAGCATGCACTGAGGAATAATTTGGGGTGGTTTTGTTTCCACATGGATGATGTTATATTAACATGCAGAGAGGAAAAAAAAATCAATTTGATGCCTGTGTCTCTAGGGAGCCTAGAACTATCTTTCCCCAGCCTCTGAAGCTTGTCAAAACTGGCTAATTGGCTTCATTTTTACATCAAACAGACCTATCCTAAATTTCTACTTTTTATAGAAATGTCACAACCTAAAAGATTCAAAGTTTATTATTAAAAACAAACAAATGCAAGATACTGATTACCCAAACAAATAGAGAATCTACAGGCATCCCCAGGTGAGATTTTTAAACAGGAGGAAGGAAGGAAGCACAGACATGTTCTACCTGAGAATAATGAAGCATGCTTTGAACCGAAGTCCCCACAGGAGCCTGTCCGGCATACACATCAAAACGACTCTGGGAGAGAGGAAAAGATAATTAGCGCCTTTCTGGGGACACAGAGAAAAATAGCATTTTAAAACTGTGCTACTTCTATGACTCAAATCTTTACTGAATTAGCTTAAAATGTAAATATTGTTGTATATCATATTATAGTATTTGATGGAAATACTTTTTCAGGAAAGAAGTCTTAAACTGGATGGTGATTGACTATTAGCACAAGATTTATTTAAAAAGATAATGTTCAAATAAAAATTAATACTTGTTTGTGCATGATATTCAGCTATGAATTCATATATGGTACAGGTAAAATTTTAGACATTGTCCTATCTGTAACTTTATAAATCACATGTAAATTGTCACACCTTATCACATGAATTATTCATATTATTTAGCTTAAGATTTTCTGTACTTAAGAGTTTGGATTTGGGTGAGAGGGAAAGTGAGTAGACCTGGAAAAATAATATTCAGAATATATTACATTAAGAATCAAATTTTCAATAAAAAGAAAAAAATATTCTACATTACTTAAAAAATAGTCCTCAGTTTTGATGTTCATCTATTGAGAAGATGAGAGCAATGTAACACAAAGATTGAAAAACAAAAATCATGCATACCTCATTTAAATTTTGGGGGTTATATCCAGATATCAGAGTAAGTAAATAATTACATAGTCTTCCAATTATCTCACGTTGGCACAAAAACTGCACAAAATATTTAACATCTGAATTTGAAAATATGTCTTTTTCACCAAAGAGGATCTGCAAATGACATGAGTAAACAGAAGCTAGAATATGGAGAATGAATTTTATTTAAGAAAAAAAAATGAGGGTAGAAGTATACTAATCACAAAATAATATTTTAACATATTGAAACATTTAGATGATTTAGTTCACTACAGCATCATTCTACACAAAGCTAAGAAAATTTCTCACAAAAAAAAATAAAAGAATATGAGCTTAAAACCCTTCTAATCAGAGTCATCAGAACACAGAGACTTGTCAGGCTCATCTGTCTGAAAGTTTGAGTCAGTCCTGTATAGGACTTGTCCTTATTTGACGCACCTGTAATTTGTAAATAAAGAAAACCCATATTTACAAGGGTTTTGTAAATAAGAGACTGCATTGAATATCTCAGCTCACATAAAATTGGGAAGTAGAAGATGAGGATAAGACAGAATGTGATAGGAGATTTGAGAATGGCTTCAATTTTTCTAATTTGACGTCAGCCATTAATACTGCTGTGTACAAAAGAATGAGCAAACTGTAAGGGTAGTCTTTTCAGACTCACCAAAACATGCTACCGTCAATCAAACCCAGACCAAGACACACTACAATCAAACCCACACTACACCAAGACGTGCTATAGTCAAACCCAATCCAAGACATGCTACAATCATACATTCAATACACTATGACAAGCTACAGTCAAGCCCACACCAAGACACACTATGGTCAAACCCGCACTACACCAAGACGTACTACGGTCATACCCAAACTGAGACATGTTATAATCAAACCCACACCAAGACACACTGCAACCAAACTCACACTATACCAAGAAAGGCTATACAGTCAAGTCCAAATTAAGATATGCTACAATCATACACACGATACATCATGATGTGGACATGCTAGAGTCAAACCTATGCTACATCAAGACATACTGCGGCTGTCACTACACCACACTAAGGCACTTAAGAATCAAATTGTCAAAAAGCAATGAACCTAGTTAAATGAAGCAACTACTCACAAAGAATCTTCAGTGAGCCTAAGAGATGACTTATCAGCAGAAAACACAGAGGTCTATAGACAGGAGAATATATTTAACTCTCTAAAATAAAATATGGTTCACCAAGACTTCCACAGGCAACAAAATCATACTTAGAATACAAAGCAGTAACAGAAAGTCCCAAAATATGCAGTAAATAACAGAATCTACGCCACTAGCACACAAGAAATACCTACAAAACAAAACAAAAAAACCTTCAAGGCAAATGAATAGATACAAGGAAATGAATTAATAAAGAGTACTAAAAAGGCATTTATAGGAAGAGCATTTACAAATTAAAATTTATATTATTTACAACATAATATAAATTTCATACAGTAAAAGACAGTCCTAAACATTTATGTGTATGTAGGTGTGGGTATGTACATGAGTGCTGTTCCTATGAAGGCCAGAGGTGAGGCATGCCGTGGTGCTGCCGTTTCAGGAGGCAGTGAGCTGCCTGATGTGGGTTCTAGGATCAAACAATGGTCCTCTGGAAGAACTGTAAGTGTTCTTAACCACCTAGCCATCTCCTCGGCCCCTATGTTCTTATGTAAACGGTACTAAGTAAATTAAGTATTATAATGTGTTGCTGTCCCTAAAGAGGAGGCTAAAAAGTAATACCTAAAAAATAGACTTTAAGAAACAACTATAGGATTATTTCACTCTGGCCAAAGTTTGGCTATGATTCTCAGTAACTTCTTTGATACCCTGGTGGGTAGAGTATTCAGAGGTGCTCTGTGGAAGGCTCCTGTAACATTCCTTGTCTTCTCCTACTTCTGACGTCTATCCTGTTTGCCCTTCAGAATGAGGATTAAGCATCTTCCCTAGGGTCCTCCTTGTTGTTTAGCTTCTTTAGGACTAGAGATTTTAGTATGTTTATCCTATATTATATGGCTAATAGCCACTTATAAGTGATTATATACCATGTGTGTATTTCTGCTCTTGGGCTACCTCACTCAGAATGATCTTTTCCATACATTTGCCTGCAAATTTTACGATTTCCTTGTTTTTAATTGCTGAGTAATATTCCATTGTGTACATGTACCACAATTTCTGTATCCATTCCTCTATTAAGGAACATCTAGGTTGTTTCCAGATTCTGGCTATTACAAATAAATCTGCTATGAACATAGTTGAGAAGAAGATATAGAAAGACCTGGAGGAGTCAGGATCTCCACAAGGAAAACAACAGAGTCAAAATACCTGGGCCAGGGTCCATTACTCCAAGGACCATGCATGGAGATGACCTAGACCCCTGTTCAGAGGAAGCCCATTGGCTGCTCACTGTCCAAGTGGGTTTCCTAGTAAGGGGTACAGGGCTGTCTATGACATGACCTTAGTGGCCAGTTCTTTGATCACCTGGGGGGTGGAGCCATGTCAGTCACAGAGGAAGATGATACAGCCAGTCCTAATGAGACCTGATAGGCTAGGGTCAGATAGAAGAGGAGGAGGACCTTGCCTACCAGGGGACTAGAGAAAGGACATAGGGAAAGAAGAGGGAGGGTGGGTGTGACTGGGAGGAGATGAGGAAGGGGGCTACAGTGGGAATACAAAGTGAATAAACTGTAATAAATAAATATATGAATAAAATTAAATTTTTAAAAAGAAATAATAACAGAACAGCATTTTAAGACTGTCTTTATTTTGTAGTGGCAGCTGCTGTTGCTGCCAATAGGCAGCCCAGATGGACCGGATGTTGGAACTGCAGACACCCTCCACACCCAGCTCAGGATGGACCAAGAGCTCTCACTGCGGGTGCACTCCACATGCGGGTTAGAAACGTTTAAAGCTTCATTTAATCAAACTGTCTTCCCAAAGGGCATTAAGGTACATAGACTCAAGCCTAAGAACCATACACTGGGCACACCAAGGCACATAAGAGTAAAATTGCCCAACACAAAGGAGAAAATATATGTACTTATAGAACCAGACTTTAAGACAGAGGAAATGAGATAACCTAGAACCCCTGCACAGATGTAATCCATGGCAGTTTAGTGTCTAAGTGGGTTCCATAGTAATGGGAAGAGGGACGGTCTCCGACACAATCTGATTGGCCTGATCTTTGATCACCTCTCCCTGAGGGGGGAGCAGCCTTACCAGGCCACAGAAGATGACAATGCAGCCAGTCCTGATGAGACCTGATAGACTAAGATCAGAAGGAAGGAGAGGAGGACCTCCCCTATCAGTGGACTTGGGGAGGGGCATGTATGAAGAAGGGGAAAGGAGGGTGGGGCAGGGAGGGGGGAGGGGCTTATGAGGGGGATACAAAGTGAATAAAGTTAAAAAAAAAAAAAGACAGAGGAAATGCTCTGAGAGTGTGGACAGAGTTCTTGGGAGAAACAACAGAGCAAGAAAAAGAAGTGGAACAACTTCTTTAACCTGCCTGTGATATTTCAGAGCTTCTAAATCCCAATTTCTATCCATATTATTGACACATTCAGGTAAAAAAAAAAAAAAAGGACTATTTAGGAATAAGTGAGCCAAGCAATCTATTACTAGCAATGTAAAAACAAACAAACAAAACAAACAAAAACATCAAATACATTTCTATTCTCTGTAGGAAAATGGCCATTAGTGGAAATCAAAATCACTACATTAAAATAGAAAACAGTATACAAAAAACACATGGAGGGTTTTTTTTCCACAGCTTAATGTACTTTAAAATCTAAAGTTTGTTTTAAAAGAAATAATGATGATGGGAATATATGTCAGTGTAAAAAAAACATATTAGCACAAGTTTTAATGATGGAGAAATATGAGTTTACTAACTTAAGACAAATTTAAAATAATAGAATTATGTAATATTTATTATTTGCACAGAAGCCATGATATAGGCCAGATACTTGCTAAACAACTTTGATTAGCTTCCTAATCAAAGCACTTTCAATGCACATTCCTTTAAATGCGTAAAGAGCGTTTACACAGGTAGGTATTCAGAGCTGTAAAACACTTCTCAACAAATGTAAACAGGTCTAGACATGAAAACCTTATTCTTGAACTAAATAAAATTAAAGTAGAAATTAATATCAGACATATATCAAAACCTCCGGGCACTTGAAAGTCTTTCAAGACACAAACAGGCCAAGTAAGATATCGAGCAGAAACTGGAGTGTTTTAAACTCAATTTAAAATGAAAGTGTAACGTCAAAACGGTCTGATGAACATGAGGCTGTGTGTGGAAAGAAAATGTATAGACTGCTCTTGCAGAAGTCAAGAGTTCACCTTCCAGGACCATCATCAGGCAGCTCATGTCCTCCAGTTTCAGAGGATCTGATGCTCTCTCCTGACCGCCAAAGGGTCCTTACACTAATAGTGTAAACACACACACACACATACACACACATAGTTAAAAATAAAAATGAAATCTAAACCAAAGCAAAGCTAAACTCCCTACCCAGTACAAGCTACCTCTGAACACTCAACAATTTTGTGACATAGCGTCTTGAGAACTAAAGTGGCAGGATGATAGATAATTTCTGGCAGTGTTTTGTGTCTCTTATGGAATTGTTGGGAAATAATTTCATAGCAATAGTGTCATTTTGACAGATAAAATAGGCCCATTGTTTGAAAACAAATTTCCTAATTTCATGCAGAGAGATAATACATCTAAATAATTGTGTCTAGTTAAACTAAATTTGCAGTTTACATTTTCCAAAAAAGACAAAAAAAAAAAAATCCCAGATAATTTAACCACTGAAGTTGATGATATGAAAGCATTGGTTATATGATTTCTTCCCTAAAAATTAAATTAAAAGAAAAGTACCCAGATGTTTTATGAGGCCATCGTTACCTTGACTCATAATATAGGAAAATCAATGGCAACCAGTGAGCCTCAGAAATCTAGATGCCTGACATTTCATAAAGTGTTGGCAAAGGTGGGCATGTAAACACGGGGAATATGTTAAAATACCTGAAACATCACCTTAAAAATTAAAGATAAATACAGTGGCTGGAGAGAAGGCTCAGAGGGTAAGAGCACTTGTTCTTGAAGAACAGCTTTCGTTCTCGGTACCTGTGTGCTACAGTTTGAAGGTCACTGATATATTTTTCTGACCTCCCCAAGCACCGGGCACACATGCGCTACACAAACATACACACAAGCAAATCTTTCATAGGCAAAAATTTGAAAAGAAGTGAAAAGAAAGCCAGCCATGAAGTGGTGTCATGTGTCTTTAATCCCAGCACTCAGAAGCGAGATGCAAGCAGATCTGTGTGAGTTTGAGGCCAGTTTGGTCTGCAGAGCTGCATTCAAAACAGCTAGTGCTACACAGAGAATGCTGTCTTGAAGGAAGGAAGGAAGGAAGGAAGGAAGGAAGGAAGGAAGGAAGGAAGGAGAAAAGGAGGGAGGGAGGAAAGGAAGGAAAGAAAAAAGAAAAGAAGGAAAGAAAGCATAATTACACAAGATAAATATGTTAATAAAAATATCAGAAGATTGAAAAAAGTAAATGGGTAAAAAAAAAAAAATTATTAACTGTAACATGGCACGTCAGAGCCTTGTAAGAACCCCGCTGGGCTCTGGGAGAGTGGCACTGTGGCCATGAGGGAAAATGAACTCTGGAATCGGCCGAGAGTAAGTACATCATCCTCTCCACTCTTTAGGCTTTTTCTTTTTTCTTTCTTTCTTTTTTTTAACTCTAAGTTTAAAGCTATTTCTGGTGCTATGCTGTAAGTATTACAAACCTTGCTCAGAGTTTTTTTCACGTATCCGATCAGGCGTAAAAGCCCTGACATGTGTTTAACAGTCGCAGCTGGACCCAGTGCAAAATTTATTTTGATCTTCTGAGCCAATTGTGGATTTGTTGCAAATGCCCCAAAGGCTGAAAGAAAAGATTATAATTTTTATACTAGTGTTCTTTTTTATTTTATTTTATTTTATTTTATTTTATTTTATTTTATTTTATTTTATTTTATTTTATTTTATTTTTCTTTATTTGTATGGACATTTTGCCTGCATGTATGTCTGTGCACCAAGTTTGTGCTTGGTGACTGGCAAGGCAAGAATATAACAGGGGATCACTTGTAATGGGAGTTACAGACAGTTGTGAGATACCATATGAATACAGAGAATTGAACCTAGGTCCTCTGGAACAGTGGGTTGTACTCTTAATCAATGAGCCATCACTCCAGCCCTTAGTGTCCCCCCTTGAATTAAACGCCTGTGTCATTTGGCTAGTTCACCACTATGATTAAATGTGTGTTCTTTCTCATCTATTTCAAGGCTATCTCTGGCAATTCCCTTCTAAAACACCTGGATGTGCCCCTCTGGGTTACTTTCTTTTCATTTTACTAATCTCTTTCACTATGAATGTTTTGGGGTGCTTAGTTTGACAATCGGTGATTCCTATTGCTTTTTAAAAATAAACAACAATTAGATAAACCTTTGCTGTACTTATTCGTTAAGTTCTGTCTCTATCCCAGTTTGGCTTCTGTTTTTTTGTTTGTTTTTTTGTTCGTTTGTTTGTTTGTTTGTTTGTTTGTTTGTTTTTTGTGACAGAACACTATGTGGGTAGGGGGGTGAGGATTGTAAGCATTAGGATGATTTGTCTGCACCTGCTGGACTTGGGAGGCTGGTAGCTCCAGCTGAGGTGGTTGGGGTAGTCTTCAGGGTTGCCTGGAATGTGGAGGCTTTTCTTGAAGGGGGACAGGGTTGGAGAGAGAAAGTAGAGTTTATGGGATGATGTGGGCTAGGGAAGAGCAACCAGAGGCGGCAACCAAACAAAACTATCTAGCACAATTATACAGTTGCAATTCTCAGTGTGGTGTAGCTGGTACACTTCTTAAAAAACAAAACATAAAAAAAAAAAGAACCTGGCAGTGGTTAGTTAGCATGCATTAAGGATTTGCACATAAACTTCACACTTTCAGCAATTGCTTCGGGTTATTGAGTTATCTGTTTTCCAAAACGATGCCTGTAAGTTCAAGTTAAACTTAAGGGTTTTTGCCATAAAATCTTCCTTGAAAGTGGAGAAGATGCCCCTTACACGCCACACGACCATTTCTATAGCTTTCTACCAGTTAGGAGTTCCTAACTCCCAAGATATGATGTGTTTGTGTGTGAGATTATGTCTGTGTGTTTATGTGTGCGTGTGCATGAGTCCACATGCATATAATCACGTTTAATGGCTATTGCTATAAAAGTTTAAGATTTTGAAGAAGTTTAATGTATTTGGGGCTGCCAACTCTGTCATGACTTGTAGAAAGTCATCCTGTTATGGCCAAGATTGGCATCCTCACATTTCTCTGTTTTCCTCTTTATTATCTACATGACTATCAAATTAAACTTCTGTAAGCATCGTTCCATTTTTGTTTTTGTTTATGTTTTGTTTTGTTTTCATTAAGGAGGCTTTAGAATTTCAGCAATGTTTGTGAGATTCACAAGCATTTTTGCTTATCAGAATTCCAAGGGGAATGAACTGATCTACTTACTGACATCAAACTAGTAAGTGCCTTGAATAAAAATAAGCACTCTTCAAATTCATTTCCAAGAAAGATGGTCTCACAGAAAAAAATATGACTCCAAATGTATTAGCGTCTGAACTGTCCTTGATACAGCCTGCCTTATTAATTCAGAGCTTTGGGGAAAAAAAATCACATTTATGTAATATACAGTGTTATCTTGTAAGTAACAAACACCAAATTATCTTTCAAGTAGTAACAACATCAAATTTTAAACAATGTGCAATGTAATAAGGAATGTTTGTCCAGGTAGTCACGTGGGTTGGAAACATTTACTGTTTTTAGCACTTTTATAATAAAAACTCTCATGACTCTAACCAGTCCAGAAAAAAAAAAAAAAAAAAAAAAACACCATGCAAGTAAATCTTTGTGAAAACTCACTAGGCCCTCAGAATTTAATTGCTCAGAGTCCAAATAAATAAAATTAATCCAAAACAGTTTCTATTTAATAGAAAACATCAAGTTTCTATTAGAAAATTAGTATAGGACCCTAGAAACAAACATGGCAACTTAGTTTTGGAAACTCCAGTTGCAGAGAATCCAATATATGGGACACATACCCAATATTTCATGCATTTAGAATGATGATGTTTAAAAAGTAGATAAACTAGTAATATCAATTATGCTTGTTGTTAATTTGAAAATATTAACCAGGTGCTGTGGCTCAGATCTACAATCTCAGCGCTCAAGAAACCATGGCAGAGGGATTGTGAGATTAAGGCTATCCTGGGCTATGTTACAAAGCCCTCTACTAAACAACACAACCATAAAAAGCTTGTATATTTATTACCTAAGCAAAATCATTTCACAACTGGATCATTGGCTAGTGTACGTCTTTCTAAATACTGAGATAATGTCATTTAAAAAATATAAAACTATTTCCAGAAGTATTTATGATCCCATCTCAGTCTCCCAACATACCGAGAAGAGTGCCCTCAGAGTAGCCAATATAGTAAATATGCTTCTGTCCTGTTTTGTTTATAATGAAGTCAATGGTGGCAGGAATGTCGTATTTTATTTGTTGATCATAACTGTGTGACACAAAACAAACATAGTATGTTAATTGTTTATTAATAATTAAAGTTTAAACTTTGTATATTAAAACAGGAACTTAAGGAGTCTTTCATCTGAATAATGAAATTGTATTAATCAAATACTCTAATCTGTTATTTCTAGTTACCTGCTTAGAAGCACCATCTCATTCAATGCCCACAGAAACCTTGATATGATCTTAGGTTTGTGTGCCTCATATGGAGCTGAAGATCATGGAAAACTAAGTGACAAACTAAATTTCAAAGCATGTTTGCAGTTTACCTGATTTGTACAATATGTTTACATTTATGCATTTTTACATGTAAAATTGATATACTTATTCTAGCTTTACTTTATTTCAATGAAGTTATTTTCTGAGTTAGATGAACTTTCAAAATAATTAGTAGTTGGGAAATATAAATAGATAATATTTATTTTCCTCTTAATTACATATAAAAATTAAAAACAAAATTCTAAGCATATTTTGTCTATTAATTTTTTTAAACTAATGTCCCATAAGTAAGATGTTTTCAGCCTTCAGTAGAACACAATAAATTTATGCTGGCATAAAAAGTTTTAATAGTGGCCTTCAACAGCCACCCTGGAGAGACTGGCGAGACCTCCACTCTTCAGCCCTCTGCCTGCAGGAGGGACACTGGGCAAGCCCAACAGTGGTGAGCTAGACCCTGTTCCCTGCATGCTCCTTCTACTAGACCTCACTCCAATATGCATTTTGAAGGCCAGTGGCCCCAAGGACCACCGGGTAATACCCTTCTGACTACAGTTCCCAGACTGCCCTGTCCTCTGGGCCAACCTAGCAGAGATCCCAGCCCTGTCCTCTGCACACCCCATTTCAGGTCCAGGGAGCAGCCCCCATGCCTGGGGGTCCACAGTAGTCACCCCTACGTGAGACTTCTGTGCACCAGCCCCGGCCTGCCCAGGGCCACTGGGCAAAACATCAGCCTTGAGCCATGCCCTCCACTTTGCCAGCTCTATTTCCAAGATCATGGCCATACCTGCATTCATTGAGGCGTGTGGCCATCAGGGACTACCCGGTAAAACTTGCCCCCACACCCTCCTCCTGGCCAGCCAATCACCCTAAGACACTCCCAACAGAGGTAAACCTCATCTCATCCTCAACCCACCATTTTCTGACACACAAGTCGTCCTGCATTACCTGAGGTTAGCCAATACCAGAAACAACCAGACATCTAAAGGCCAGAAAAGAACAAAAATAACAAGAGCCATGGCAATATGGCAATACCAGAACTCAGGCATTATACTACAGCAAGCCCAGGATATCTTAACAGAGCTGAAGTGCAAGAAAATGACCTTAAATAAAATCTTATAAAGATGATAGAGGCTTTTAAAGAAGAAATGAATACATCTCTTAAAGAAATACAGGAAAATAGTATTAAGCAGTTAGGAGCCTTTCAAGAGAAAATAAATAAATCCTTTAAAGAAATAAAGGAAAACACAATTGAACATGTGAAGGAAATGAATAAAACTATGTAAGACCTGAAAATGAAAGTAGTGCAATAAAGAAAGCACCATCTGAGGAAATCCAGAAGATGGAAGAGCAAAGAAACAATGGATGCAAGCATCAGCAACAGAATCCAAGGGATGAAAGAGAGAACTCAGGAGTAGAAGATATGATAGAAGAAATTGATCAAAGAAAATGTTAAATCTGAAAAAATTCTGACACAAAACATCAAGGAAATCTGAAAAACTATTAAAAGACCAAACCTAAAAATAATGGGAATAGAAGAAGGTAAAGAATACCAGCTCTGAGGACCAGAAAATATTTTCAACAAAATCATCAAAGAAAATTTCCTCAACCTAAAATAAGAGATGCCGATAAACATACAAGAAGCATATAGAACACCAATTGGATTGAAGCAGAAAAGGAAATTCTCCTGCCACATAATAATCAAAATACTAAATCTACAGAACAAAGACAAAATAATAAAAGCTGCACGGGGAAAAGGCCAAGTAACATATAAAGGCAGAACTATCATAACTACACCTGACTTCTCAACAGAGACTCTAAAAGCCAGAAGGGCCTGAGCTATTGTCATGCAGACTCTAAGAGACCACAGAAGTCATCCCAGAATACTATACACAGCAAAACTCTCAGTCACCATAGATGGAGGAAAAAAAAGATATTCCAAGACAAAACCAAATCTAAACAATATCTACCACAAATCCAGCTTTACAGAAAGTATGAATGGAGAAACTTTTCAAAGAGGGTAACTGCATCCAAAAAACATGGGAAATAAATAATTCCACTGAAAAAAAAGGGAAGTACAATCAAACACATACTAATATCACCATCATAAAAATAACAGAAATTGACACTTATTGGTCATTAATAGCTCTCACTATCACTGATCTCAATTCACCAATAAAAAAGACACATGCTAACAGAATGGTTGTGAAAACAGGATCCATCATTCTGCTGCATACAAGAAACACACCTCAGCAATAAAGATAGATATTACTTCAGAGTAAAGGGCTGGAATAAAAATGTTTTCCATGCTAAAGGACCCAATATGAAAGCTGGAGTAGTCATTCTAATATCTAATAAAATAGACTTTCATCCAAACTTAATCAAAAGAGATGGGGAAAGACACTGGACACTTCATACTAATCAAAGGAAAAAAATACATCAAGATGATATCTCAATTCTGAATATCTATGTCCCAAATGCAAGGGCACCTACGTTACTAAAAGAAACATTACTCAAGTATAAACCACATATTGAGCCCCACACTTTAATAGTAGGAGACTTCAGTATGCTTCTCTTACCAATTGACAGGTCATCGAGACAGAAATTAAATAAAGAAATAATGAAACTAATCAATGTTACAAGTCAAATGAAACTAACAACAGCTTCCAAAATGGGAAAATATCTTCACCAACCCTACATCTGACAAAGAGCTACTATCTAAAATATATAAAGAACTTAAGAAATTAAACAAACTTGTACAACCACTTTGGAAATCAATCTGGAGGTTTCTCAGAAAACTAGGAATAGATCTACCTCAAGACTCAGCTATAGCATGCAGGGGCTCAAAAGGTGCTCTACCATACCACAAGTACACTTGTTCAACTATATCCATAGAAGTTTTATTCGTAATAGCTAGAAACTAGAAATAACCTAGATGTCTCCCAAAAGTAGAATGGATAAAAAAAAAATGTGGTACATTTACGCAATGGAATAATACACACACATCATGCAATTTGCAGGCAAATGGATAGAATTAGAAAAGATCCTGAGTGAGGTAACCCAGACCCAGAGAGACATGCATGGAATGTACTCACTTCTAAGTGGACATTAGCCATAACGTACAGAATAACCATGCTACAATCTAAAGACCCAGAGAAGCTAAGTAACAAAGAGGTCCCAATAAAGACTGCTGAGTCCCACTCAGAAGGGGAAATAAAATAGACATCTGAAGTATAAGGAAGGAAGGAACTGTGTAAAAGATGGGATGGGGAATGTGACAGCAGTGGTGGTCAGGTGTGGGGAGATCGGGGATCGGTGGAAAGGAAGGGGAGGAGTGAGAGAAAGAAGAGAAATAGGTGAGGGAGCATCTCTGAGACACGGAAGGCCTGAGGAGTCTACAGGGTGACCCTAGCTGAGATTCCTAAGGGTAGGAGATATAGAACCTGAAGTCAGGTGGGACTTCCAGTGGAGGGAGGGGGACACCAACCCACTCATAAAAACTTTTGACCCAAAATCTATCCTGCCTACAAGAAATGTATGGACAAAGATTTGAATGAATGGCAAGCCAATGTCTGGCCCAATTTGAGACCTACCTCAATGGAGAGAGCCAACCACTCTCAATATTAATAATACTGGGCTATGCTTGCAGACAGAAGCTTAGCATAACTGTCTTCTGAGAGGCTTCATCCAGCAGCTGATGGCAACAGAGGCAGAGACCCACAGTTAAAGAATAGGCCAAGCTAAGGGAGTTTTGTGGAAGAGTGGAAATAAGGGCTGAGGGAGTTAGGGGTCAAGGAGACCACAAGAAGACCTACACAGTAAACTAACCTGGACCTATTGGGGCTCACAGAGACTGAACCACCAACCAAAACGCTTCCATGACCTGGACCTAGTCCCCCAACATACGTGTAATAGGTGTGGAGTATGGTCATCATGTGAGTCCCCTAACAATGGAACTAAGGGGTTATCTCTGACTCTGTTGCCTACATTTGGATCCCTTCCCCATGGCTTGGTTTTCTTCTCTGGCCTCAGTGTGAGAGGGTGTGCTCAGCCCTGCTGTGACTCGAGGTGCCAGGAGTGTTGGTGCCCCTTAGACCCTCCCTTCTCTGAGAAGGAGGAGAGGGGGAAATGGGTGGAAGGAGGTATGAGGACAGTAATGGGAGGAGAGGGGAGGGGCTGAGATCAGGTTGTATTATAAAATGATTACAAAATAAAAAAGATTTAATACAGTTTTAAGGGAAAAAAATAAACATAAACATTAGTACTTCTTACCTAAAAGCCCAGAATTCTCTGGAATCTGGATCTAGGTACACATGTTTCCTGGCATAGGTGTTGCCCCTGCTGTTCCCCATCCACACGTCAAAACCAGCATCTGCAAGAAGGAAGCCCAGGCTGCCGCTGGGAGGGTTGAGAATCCAAATAGAAGCAGATAGAGTCCACCCATGATGCAAATAAACTACTGGCTTTGGAACTAAAAACCAAAGAGAGAAAAGTCCTTGTTATTTATAATTGTTCTAATCATGCAAAGTAACGGGGCTTATCTTGACATTTTATAAATAGGTATTATAATTTTAGCCCATTTACGTCCTTCATTATCATCTCTTTGAGCCCTTATTCCCTTTCTGGGAAATGATTAATAGCATGAATTTGAATCATCCTTATATACTGAAATCCACAAAAGAAGTGTTAGTGAGTCATTGCACGTATGTAAGATACAGAAACAGCTCTCCAAATTCTTTATGATAAAATAATCATTACGCCTGTAGGATCTTTTTATTTCTTCCTTCTACCCCTTTAATAAATACAAATTTCCCTACTGAAAGTTTTTAATTTCTAAAATTTATGAATTAGATTTTCTTCTAGTGGAGTTCAAACTTATGTAAAGCAAAATATAATATGTGTAGACCGTTTCAGCAATAACTAAATCAAAAACAAAATACTAAACTTGAACATGATATTTGTAGTCTGACGGTCCCGATGAATACATGAGTTGGGTGTTATTATCAGGAAAGGCATGGGTTCTTCCAGCAGTAACTGAAGCTTTCTATGACTCAATGTGCTTGAAAGTTCTGGGCCTTCTTACCATGTGTTAGAGCTCCTGCCTTGAGTGGAAAGCTTAATTTATGAAGTAGTTTTTGTTTCTCCTTGCTTTAAAGGCAATCAACATAAGCCAGGTGTCATGAAGAACCTCAGCTTTGGATATGTGATATCTGGTATTTGGACAAATTTGGATATCTCAGAGGTCTGAGGATCCTTACTATGGGTAACTGAATAGAAAGGTTCTGCATAGAATGAATTTGGCTGAAGATACTAACAGTTGGAATATTTTTATCTTCACTCTGATCTTACCTAAATTTCTAGACTCGTTCTTCCCATGTGGAATTCTGTAAACTGTGATGATGTAACCATCTTCAGTCACCACGTCATACTCTTCATATACATAACCCCAGTAAGAAATCATCTCACCCTACATGGAGAAGAGAGAACACACAGACTTTTATTCATTTGCTATCTAGGCACTTTAGTAATTATGAGAGTGAATCTTTATAGAGCAAGGCAAGAAGTCCTATGTAACAAGAACCTCCGGGTTATAATATCCATGACAATCAGGAAATAAACAGTGAAATTAATAGTATCAAAATCACTGAAACGATGTTCACTAATACTGAGTTTTACTTACAACATTCATATTGGCTTCAGGATTTCTGGGTTTTGGCTTGAATAAACAAAATATATTTCCAATTATATGGAGCAGGTACATTGTTCTCAGCAGCCACCACATGTTAAACCTGCTGGGAAATAGCTGATAGCAAGAGAGAGTAAATGTCTTATACATGCATTGTGTTCACACACCACCCTTCTTAAAATTGGTCATATCCGCTAATAAGACTCTTTGAAATAACTCTATCCATCTCAAAGGATGAAATCAAAACTATGTCGACCTGCTACTACTTACAAAGGCCACCCATTTCTCTCCTCACCTTTCGTCAACATTTAAACAAACATTGTTCTTGTTGCAAAAACTTTACTGAAAGTTCTCTGTTAGTTGGCCTAAATGAGTAAGATTAGTGTTCGGCTTCTTCCTTCAGAACCATTAGATAACTTAACTGAAGCCTATTACAATTTAAGAGCAGAGTAAGGATGAGAGGAACCATAGAAGAAAAACAGTACAGGTGTTAGACAGAAAGGCAGAGTGACCGACGATTCTCATGAAACTAGTACTTGTGAAAACCGGGGACTTTGGTAAACACTGACTTTTTTTTTTCCTGATAACATCACACTTCAATTTTTAGAATGTGCAAGATTTCAGAAGCACAAATAGTGGCAACAAAAATGTACACTGTTTTCAGCCTTTTCTTGTTGCCTTCTACAGAGATTGTTATGAACGTACCATTCTATGAACAATGACAGAACGTTACAAATCTTTTATAGAAAGGAAATCCCAGTCACAGCACACTCAGTATATACCCTGCTTTTCTGCCCTGAGAAAAATACAATTGGGAAGACGCTATTCTGTTCCCTTTTTTAAAAAAAGGACAATTTCCTAAATATTGAGGTCACCAAAGAGAAGAGAAGAAAAATACATTTTAGTAAACTATTTTTCTATTTTGATTTGATAGAATCAAGATAGTGATTTTCAATGAAATTTACTGTCTTTAAAGTAGACCCTTCACTTACAGATATACTCACTGTGAATTTAAATCATAAGGCTTAAAATCCCAGAGCACATACTCATTGCCACCAAATGTGAAGCCTTCAGGTTTCCAAGAGTGTAAAGGGAATTAGAATTCTCTTTTTCCTTAGTGTGCCAATAAATAATTCTGTGAATGTGTTTTGTTTTTTTTTTTTTTATGACTTAAAAGTAGCTTTTGCAGTTACTCTCTGATATTTTTCAGGTACAAAATCAAATATCAAGATGGACGTGGTTCTAAAATGTCCTCAAAGCCTCAGGAACTCTGTGATGTGACAGTTGATAAAAATCCCCCTTCCTCACATCCTGCTCCCCTGAATAACTCTCATTGTAACTGTTGTGAATGTTCTTGTTTGTTTGTTTCATATGGGAAAATCAAAGCTGAGAAGACATATCTTTGTTGCACCCATAAAGACGATCCCCTGGGGTCCTGCAGAGACTGATGCGCCAACGGAGGACCATCATGGAGAGGACCTAGACACCCTGCTCAGATGTGGCTCACTGGCAGCCCAGTCTCCATGTGGATCTCTGAGTGAGAGGAGCAAGGGCTACCTTTATCATGAACTCAGTTGACTGCTCTCTAATCACTCGCCCCTGGCGAAGCAGCTTTGCCAGGCTACAGAGGAAGAGGATCAGGGCAGTTTTGATGAGACTTAACAAGCTATGGGCAGATGGCAGTAGTGGAGAACTCTCCCTTTCAGTAGACTAGAGAAAGGGGATGAGGGAAAGAGGGAGGGAGGATGGGAGTCAGGGGAGTTGAGGGAAGGGGCTTCAATCGGGATATATAATGAATAAATTAAGAAGAAAAAAATTAAAATTAAAAAAATAAGATGATCTCCTGGTATATTTCAAAGGAATTAAGGTAAAAATGTTACAAAAAGCTTTTGAATTTTGTGGTAGATAGAGTTATAAAATGAATGATAACAAGCTTTGCAACTGTGAACAAAGTCAAATTTTAAGGCACCTTTTCTTTGAAGTAAACGTAAAAGTCTTTTAAAATCTGGGGAATAGCTTCAAAATATATGAATGGCAAAGCATTAGTAACCAACATGCATGAAAACACACATGAATTTATTAGTAATAAATACAACTCAAAAGAAAAAATAACTAAAAACCAGCATAGCAAAGCCATATGAAAAATACCAACAAATACGTTATTATTATTATTATTATTATCATCATCATCATCATCATCATCATCATCATCATTATCATTATGAGTTTTTTGAGACAGTATTTTTGTGACCTTGGCTGTCTGGTCCTCACTTTGTAGACAGGTTGGCCTCAAACAGAGATCTCCCTGCCTCTGCCTCCCCAAATGCTGGGATTACAGGAGTGTGCCACCATGCCAGGCTACATTACTATATTTAATATAAACTGACAGGACCTCTTTGTCATGTCAAAATGGTATTATCTTCTAAAAATAAGAAAGAAAATTTCTTCCTTAGATATTTTTATTTCTGCTCTCCAAAAAAGTAATCCACACGCTGTTGGTATAATGGTGTTTTCTTTTTTGTTTGTTTTGTTTTTTGTTTTTTAATGTATACACCTTACCCTTGTTCATTCAAATACTCATTTCTCCCCCACTCCACCCCCAACTCTCTGGTTTCAATCCGGATATTGCATTGTGATACTCATTCTAAGCATCTTGTCTCAACTCTTGTGTAAACAGGAACAAAATAAAGCAACTAGACACAATGTTGAGCAGGAAGGAGCCAGAGGACAGGAAAGAGGGGAAAGAGCCAGAAGGTGGGAGAGGAGTGGGAGAAGAAGGAGGAGAAGGGGTGAGAGGAGAGCTAGGAGAGAGCTGGAGGAGAGATCTTGGAGGACTTGGAGCATGAACCAGACCTAAGATTTCACAAAAAGCAAGTATAATGTGGGAAATCTAAATGTTAGGAAACTGAGGGCTTGGAGGTTTAGGAGGGAGTAAATATTGCCCAGCATTGTGTTCTAGGTTAACTAAAAACCCAGTCTCTGTGTGGTGATTTGGTTATACAGCTGCTGAGGATTAACAGCAGCATTACTAGAAGATAAACCAATAGTAAATATTAAAAACCACATACAAAAACACGCATATGCAAAAGGAAATATGTATGTTTTGGCTGGATATAATCTGTGTGCTGAGGGCCCATTGTGCTGGAAATTTGGTCTCTTGAGCTTCAGTGAAAACTGTGGAATCTGGAAGAAGAGATGGACTCTAGGGAACCATTACAAGGGCATACCAACATTGCACCAACTAATTCTGAAAATCAGAAAGAATCAAGTCTGATTGGAAAAGATTTTTTTACAGGAATGTTCGTTATTTAAAATAATAATGTTAAAGCCCGGCCCACACTAAATTTTTGCTTCCAGGTTTACCTTGAGGTCTCTTCTACATAAATACCATCTTGCTTTTTTTTTTTTTTTTTGGCCACGTTGTATCATGCACTGATATTCATGATAATATGCTAGGGATCATTAGCCCCACCTAGGATATGGTTGACAGTAGAAAATACTGGTTTAGTAGCAAAGTAAAATGTAAAAACTGTAGACTAGAAAATAGTGTGAGAGTCCAAAATTCATTCTGTAGGCCTTACAGTTAAAGGAGAATGTTCTTTGTCTAGACAGTGAAACTAAAGAAGGTTGGAAGTCATGGTTTCAGACAAGGAAGGAGATTCAGAACATCTGTCCTGCATTTTTGATAGAAGTTATTTTTTTTTTAAATTTAAATTTTTTTTTTTTTCTTTTTAGTTACATTTTGTTAACTCTGTGTCCCAGCTGTATCCCGCTCCCTCATTCCCTCCCCAACCCCACACTCCCTCCCTGGTCTCCTCCCTGCCCCTTTCCAAGTCCCCTGATAGGGGAGGACCTCCTCCCCTTTCATCTGACCCTGTTTTATCAGGTATCTTCAGGGCTGGCTGCAAAGTCCTCTGTGGCCTAACAGACTGCTCCGATAGAAGTTATTTTAAAAACAAGAAAAAAGAGAGAAAGATGGAGAACAAAAGTCATGTGACTAAATGAAGAAAAAGAGGCACAAGGAAAGATCTCTTTTGTTAATAATTAACCAGAGAAGTAACACAAAAGCACTTTAAGGCTGTGAAAAGGATCTTATCAGTAACTTGCTTGAGTGCTTGATTCTAAGTGTGATGATCATAGATCCTACTTTATTATTTATTTACTTTTTATGTTTTATAGTTTATTCACTATATATCCCAAATGTAGCTCCCTCCCTCAACTCCTCCCAATCCCACTCTCCCTCCCTCCCTCTTAATCCCTATCCCCTTCTCTTAGTCCACTGAAAGGGGGATGTCTCCTCCCCTGCCATCTGCCCCTAGTTTATCAAATCTCATCAGTACTACCTAGATCCTCTTCCTCTGTGTCCTGTGAAGTGATCAAAAAGCAGGGAACCAACTTCATGACCAAAGCAACCCCCTTCTTCTCTTAATCAGTAACTAACACATAGACTGAGCTGCCTATGGGCTATATCTGAGCATGGGGTCTAGGTCTTCTCCATGCATAGTTTTTGGTACATCCCTGGGGTCAGATATTTTAGCTTCATTGGTCTCCTTGTGGGGCTCCTGTCCTCTCATTATCTTTTTATCCCTTCCTTCTTTTGTAAGACTCCCTGTGCTCTGCCCAAAGTTTGCCTGTGAGTCTCAGCATCTGCTTCATTTCCTTGTTGGGTGGAGCCCTTCATAGGACCCTCTATAGGAGGCTCCTATCCTGTTACCTCTATTCCACAACTTCTGGTGTCTATGCTGTTTGCCGTTCTGAATGACATTTAAGCATCCTGGCTAGGGTTCAATTCCATCTTACACTGATCAGAATGGTTAAGATAAAAAAAACTCAAGTGACAACAATTGCTGGAGAGGATGTGGAAAAAGGGGAACCCTCCTCCATTGTTGATGGGAGTGCAAACTTGTACAACCACTTTGGAAATCAATCTGGTGCTTTCTCAGAAAATTAAGAATAGTGTTATCTCAAGATCTAACTATACCTCTCCAGGGCATATACCAAGAGATGCTCCACCATTCAACAAGGACATTTGCTCAACTATGTACATAGCAGTTTTATTCTTAATAGCTTGAATCTGGAAACCTAGATGTTCCTCA